ATTTTCATAGGGGACACTCAACACACATATGCCAGACCCCCCTCTGAAATTCATCGTATTTGCCCAAGGTTTGATATGGTTTTTAAGCCTTGTTGTGCAGCAGCCTGCAGAATTCTGTGCAGAATTGCCTTGAATCAGGTTGCAACTGAAATCACCCACTTATCCTTAGGCAAATGAGCTGATTTTTATCGGGGACTCTCATTACACATATTCCAGACTCCCCTCTGAAATTCATCTCATTTGCCCAAGGTTTGATATGGTTTTGAAGCCTTGTTGTGCAGCAGTCTGCAGAATTCTGTGCAGAATTGCCTGGAATCAGGTTGCAATTGAAATCTCCCACTTCTCCTTGGGCAAATGAGCTGATTTTTATAGGGGGACTCTCAACACACGTATTCCAGACTCCTCTCTGAAATTCACCTCATTTGCCCAAGGTTTTGATATGGTTTTTAAGCCTTGTTGTGCAGCAGGTCTGCAGAAATCTGTGCAGAATTGCCTGGAATCAGGTTGCAATTGAAATCACCCACTTCGCTTTGGGAAAATGAGCTGATTTTTATAGGGGAATCTTAACACAAATATTCCAGACTCCCTTCGGAAATTCACTTCATTTGCTCAAGGTTTGATATGGTTTTTAAGCCTTGTTGTGCAGCAGTCTGCAGAATTCTGTGCAGAATTGCCTGGAATCAGGTTGCAATTGAAATCACCCACTTCTCCTTAGGCAAATAAACTAAGTTTTAAAGGGGACTCTCAACACACATATTCCAGACTCCCCTCTGAAATTCATCTCATTTTTCCAAGGTTTGATATGGTTTTTAAGCCTTGTTGTGCAGCACTCTGCAGAATTCTGTGCAGAATTGCCTAGAATCAGGTTGCAACTGAAATCACCCACTTATCGTTAGGCAAATGAGCTGATTTTTATAGGGGACTCTTATCACACATATTCCAGACTCCCCTCTGAAATTCATCTTATTTGCCCAAGGTTTGATATGGTTTTTAAGCCTTGTTGTGCAGCAGTCTGCAGAATTCTGTGCAGAATTGCCTTGAATCAGGTTGCAACTAAAATCACCCACTTATCCTTAGGCAAATGAGCTGATTTTTATAGGGGACTCTCATCACACATATTCCAGACTCCCCTCGGAAATTCATCTTATTTGCCCAAGTTTTGATATGGTTTTTGAAGCCTTGTTGTGCAGCAGTCTGCAGAATTCTGTGCAGAATTGCCTGGAATCAGGTTGCAATTGAAATCTCCCACTTCTCCTTGGGCAAATGAGCTGGTTTTTATAGGGGACTCTCAACCACACATAGTCCAGACTCCCCTCTGAAATTAATTTCATTTGCCCAAGGTTTGATATGGTTTTTAAGCCTTGTTGTGCAGCAGTCTGCAGAATTCTGTGCAGAATTGCCTGGAATCAGGTTGCAATTGAAATCACCCACTTCTCCTTGGGCAAATGAGCTGATTTTTATAGGGGACTTTTAACACACATATTCCAGACTCCCTTCGGAAATTCACTTTATTTGCCCAAGGTTTGATATGGTTTTTAAGCCTTGTTGTGCAGCAGTCTGCAGAATTCTGTGCAGAATTGCCTGGAATCAGGTTGCAATTGAAATCACCCACTTCTCCTTAGGCAAATAAGCTGAGTTTTATAGGGGACTCTCAACACACATATTCCAGACTCCCCTCTGAAATTCATCTCATTTTCCCAAGGTTTGATATGGTTTTTTAAGCCTTCTTGTGCAGCAGTCTGCAGAATTCTGTGCAGAATTGCCTGGAATCAGGTTGCAATTGAAATCACCCTCTTCTCCTTGGGAAAATGAGCTGAGTTTTATAGGCGACACTCATCACACATATCACAGACTCCCCTCTGAAGTTCACCTCATTTGCCTAAGGTTTGATATGGTTTTTAAGCCTTGTTGTGCAGCAGTCTGCAGAATTCTGTGCAGAATTGCCTGAATCAGGTTGCAACAGAAATCACCCACTTATCCTTGGGCAAATGATCCGATTTTCATAGGGGACTCTCATCACACATATTCCAGACTCCCCTATGAAATTCACCTCATTTCGTAGAGGTTTGATATGTTTTTCATGCTCTTCTCTGCAGGCGGGAGCAGATCACTTTGTTGAAATGTACAACATTTGTTTTGTATTTAAATGCCATTGTTATACGGGTGCTAATGAGCCCTTATTGATAGGGCACTCATCTCACACTTATAGGATTATCCGTTTTAGAATTGGGTGTGCTAATCATGCAAAGTTCATGCTTGTGTTTGTTTTATGGGTTACAAAAACTAGCACTATACGTGCTACGCGAGTACCCCTATAGCGGTACTGTGGGATGTACACGGTCATTCGGTTTCTGACACGTGTGACAGGTCGCAGAGACTGCTCTATTTCCACTTTGCGGAGGGAACCATGCGGATGGGATAGTTATACGTGGCAGCCTGTCATGAACCTGTCACAGGACACCTTTCTTTTTTTTTAGGGGCTGCCCGTCACCATTTCGTACTAGGTCGAGGCAAAGCTGAGACCATGCAATGCACCGCAGAACATGCAATATGCTTAAATGGCATATAAGGTTGGCAATCAACCAACCAGCAACTGAAGTAGAACATTTAGGAGAACAATCTGGCGACAAATAGGCCAATCGCTGCAGAAGGATGCAAAGAGTAGTTCGCAGATGTTCGAAGGGAAATGGTGAGAAGCCTAATATTTTGATGTAGGGGGCAGAAAAGTCTTACTACGCCTGGCGTTTGTAGCAAAGCCTTTCCCACCTTCTGTGAGGACGAGAGCACAACCAATTCTACCAGCGAAGCAGAAGTTGTTATCAGGGTGGGTGCACCAGAGCTCAAGGTCATTCTCGCCATTCCAATCTGAGTCTTGGTTCCACAACTAGCCTCCTCACAAGCTTCCCTCTCATTCTAGTGTCGGCCTCAAATCCTGCAGGCGGACAGTGTATGGTAGTAACCGTATAGCTACCTGCCATCTTCTGGCATACTTACGCGATGTCGTCCCAGTTAATCACAGATGGCTGCGGATTGTCTGTACGACTAGGGCGGGAGTCTTATGAAATGTTAGTCGCTCGTCAGGAAGAGTGGAACGAGGCGTTGTTACTTTTCGGCCTTGTGTATGTATCCAAGCGCGGTTTGTAACGCACGCCGACTTCATCGGCACGTTAAACCCTTGTATTTTTAGACACGCACCTGCTATCTTCTACCTCTGCGACATGTCGGCTTGGATGCAGGGAGGTTGCCAAGGACAAGATCAGGGATCCTCATGTTCGCAGGGACATAAAGATTCTGGCTCCTACCGAGCATCGGCGTTTGAGGTCTGCGTCCCGCGTGTCCCCAGTTGTGGCAGCGAACATCGGTCGCTGTTGGACTACCAGATGGTTTTAATACCCATGATATCAGAGTGCGTTTCTTGACATGGATCCGCAACGTCTGTCGATGACACCAGCTTATCTTGCTAATCCAAACTTCGATGTACCGCAGCGTCCCTGTTGTTCACGTCGACGGCGATCAGTCTCATGGTGCTGATGAACCCGCAAGATTTGTTAGCACATCCCCGCGGAGAGTACCGTACGCGTGTGCTACACTTCGACCCTAAATCTCCAATCCCAACCCATCTCCACAGCGACCATGCCAAGGAGGTGTTCGAGTAAGTGTCACTCCTTAATCAGATGTGCGGTTTGTATGGACGCATGTTATTGATTATTTGCGACCCCCTTGCCCTGCAGCTGGCTTATTCGACAACTAGATGTGGAATACAGCCGAGGTCGCAGGGTCTCTGGCAGCCACGCCGAAGCGGTGCAGAAAGATTTGAGGGATCGCCTAGAGGAACTGATTCTTGGAGGAAGGCAGGGTAAGGAGCCTCTATTTTATGATATTAAGCTTGTAAAAAGTACGGGAGTGCCTGACAACCACCCTTTTCACGCACATGTTGCAGATCAACAAGGTTCAGGGACAGAGGCAAGTGGGTTCCGGGCTACACGTTACCCATCTGTTCAGCAAGTTGCTTGACAAATGGGGGGATGTCATGGCGATTCAAACTGCAGAGCCGATGATCGCCCTTAGGGAAGGGGAGAAAACAGCGCGAAAGAAATTCGGAGTATGCTGGAGTCGACCTGCAGGGCCTTCTTCGACCTGCAAGGAGTCCAGCTCCGTCCCGCCCCGGATGCAGTCCATGACGACCCATGAGGCTCGAGTGGTGGAGAGCGCACCGGAACGGTCCGGGAATACCATGGAGCCGGCGGCACAGAACAGATCCGAAGCGGTAGAGGGACAGAGAGACATACCTACCGCAAACCGGGACGCAAATCCAAGAGTAGGGGAAATTTCATATTCCCGCCGACCTGCACCGGGGGGTGCACTACTGAGTGGCCGACATCAAGGTCAGCCCGTGCGGACGAGCGTGTTAGGTTCTGGATTTAGGCAGCTCAGGTTTGCTGATCGGGTTAGGAGGCCGCCGGAATGCGAAGCACGGACGGAGACCGACTTGGCAAGTGTAGCAGATGAAGGCGAGGAGGGTGTAGAAGATCCACAGCTGCCAAGTCAGGTCGAACAGGCGAGGAGCAGTGGAGGAAGGCGGCTGATGATAAGCGGATGGCCGAAGCAGAAGAAGCCAAGAGGAGACGGGCTGAAGAGAGGCAACGGCGCCGTGATGGCGACACCGATCCTACCGTCTCTTTCCCGGGAACTGGAGACATACGTGAAGCATGGGAGCGTGGGGCACGAGCCGCTGCAAGGGCACACGTGGGAGAGGCAGGAGAGGAGCTCGCCAGCAATGTGCGGCAGCATATCGAGGAGGATAGGGGGATACGTGAAAGTTCGCTTGCCCAGCGTAAAGCGGAAGGCGGCTGAAGAGGCCCGGAGAGGGGACGTCGACGTGCCAGAGAATTCGGGAGAGGCGAAAAAGAAGGCGCAGAGCAACGCAGGTGCAAAGGCTCATAAGATGGCGGAGGTAGAGGCGCACCAGAATGCAGAGGATGCGGCCCATCGGTTCGTCGATGCAGAGGCGGCACTTACGGCAGAGGACGGGGCGCCAAAGGAAGCAGAGGCTGCGGCGCAGCAGAAGGTGGGTGCAGAGGCGGTCAAGAGTGCGGAGGCAGTCGCGCGTAAAGAAGGCGGGTGCAGCAGCAGAGCTGACGTCGGAGGCAGTCGAGCTGCAGGTGGTGGAGGCAGTGGCGCAGAAGGAATCAGAGGCAACGGCGAGCCAGAAGGATGAGGCAGCGGCGCAGCAGAATGATGAGGCAGACGCACATAAGGAATCAGCGGCAGCAGCGCAGCAGAAGGATGAGGGTGCGGCGCCCAGGATGGTTGAGGCAGAGGCGCAGAAGGAATCAGAGGCAGCGGCGCAGCAGAAGGAGGAGGGTGCGGCGCCGAAGATGGTTGAGGCAGAGGCGCAGAAGGAATCAGAGGCAGCGGCGCAGCAGAAGGAGGAGGGTGCGGCGCCGAAGATGGTTGAGGTAGAGGCGCAGAAGGAATCAGAGGCAAGCGGCGCAGCAGAAGGAGGAGGGTGCGGCGCCGAAGATGGTTGAGGCAGAGGCGCACAAGGAATCAGAGGCAAGCGGCGCAGCAGAAGGAGGAGGGTGCGGCGCCGAAGATGGTTGAGGCAGAGGCGCACAAGGAATCAGAGGCAGCGGCGAGGCAGAAGGATAAGGCAGCGGCGCTGCATATGGAGGAGGCAGACGCACATAAGGAAGGAGAGGCTCGGAATAAGGCAGAAGCAGCGGCGCGGCAGAAGGCGGAGGCAGAGGAGCAGAAACAGGCTGCGGAAGAGGCACTACAACTGGCTCGGGCAGAAGCGCGGAAGAAGGCGTTGTAGAGGCGCGGCAGAAGGTGGAGGGTGAGGCGCAGAAGATGGCAGAGGCCGAGGAGCAGAAGCAGGCTGAGGTTGACGGACGTAGGAAGCCAGATGGAGAGGAGGGTTTAGATGGGAATAAAATGATACAGACAGAGGGACGGGAGACGGCGGGTGCTGAGGGGCACATCATCGCAGAGGAAGAGGGGCAGCATGAAAGGAGGGCAGCGTCGCAGGTAATTCGCATACCGAGAGACGCAGAGCATGGCAGAGAGACAGAGCGTCAAAATACTATGGAGGAGGTTCGTGTGGTCCCGGAGGCTGGAGTGGGGCACTACGAGGGAGATGCGCTGGAAACAGAAGAGGAGCAGAATGAGGAGGATACTGTACATCCGCAGTCCGGATATTTTTGGGAGGAAGTTCCGACGCGGGGACCAGGAACCGGGGTAGAGGGGCCATGGAGGGTGGCAGACGATGGGGCGCCTAGGGATACAGTGGATCTCAACAGGCAGAGGCGGACCTACCCTTCACCAGAGAGCAGTGGAGAGGAATCTCGGCCAAGGCGGGGTGGCAGAAGCGTTTTTGGCAGGTAGAGTGGGTCGAGGCAGAGACGGCAATACGGCGGATGCTGCATCGGACGAGTACAGTCCTGGTCGAACAAGGTGACAGGTTCGTCGAGGCCAAAAGCTGGGACATAAGCCCGGCAGAGGTAACGCGTCGTCTGACGCTCTTAGCCCGAATGGTGACGCAGACGTTCTGCAACTTGGCGGCCCGCAACAGCAGCATCAGTCGCGACGTGGCCGATCTGACCGTCCATTACTGCCGCGACGCCCTGGCCAACCTGGAAGAAGTCCGCCATGGAAACGAGGAACGGCGGCGCCAAGCTGAAACGGCGGCCAGGTTTCGCGAGCAGGTGGACACGAGACTCTCCAACTTGCAGGAGAGTATCATAAGGGTGAGTGATCAGGTTCGCCAGTCGGGAGGGGGGATGGCGGAGGGCACGTTAAAGGGGGTGGAAGAGAGGTTGAGAGAGGTTCTGAGAGAAGACTCTGAGCAGCGGAACAGGGATGCAGGACGAGGAGCGGAGGCAGAAGGCCACGAGGAAGGAAGCAGACGCCGCAGAGAGACGGAAGAAGGAACAACAGCAGGAGGAAGAGCGTCGGCAGAAGGAGATGAGAGAGGGAATGAAGGAGATGAAGGAGGCGATGATGAAGGAGATGAAGGCAGAAATGAAGGAGATGAAGGATGGGATGGTAAACCAGATTGTGGGGAGGAGCGCGGTTTTGCGAGAAGAATCCGAGTGGCAGAAGAAGGCGAGGCAAGAGGACGCGGAGCGGCGACAACAGCAGGACGCGAAGAGGAAACAAGTGGCGGACGACGAGGAGAGACAGAAGAAGAAACAACTGGACGAGCAATGGCGGAAGGAGGAGGAGGAGAAGAGGAAGGATGTAGAGGCCACAGAGTGGCGGAGGAAGAAGAAACATCAGGAGGAAGAGCGACGGCAGAAGGAGGTGGAGGCAGGAATGAAGGAAGTGATGGAGGCTGTGAAGGAGATGAAGACGGGGATGAAGGGGTGGAAGGAGGGGATGCTAAGTGAGGTGGAAAAGCGGCTGTCAGTAGTTCTGAGATTGGACGCAGAGCGGCGGCAAAAGGAGGAGCAGGGTAGGAAGGCAACGGAGGGAGATCGGCGACAGAAGGAGGATGCGCAGAGGAAGGAGGCTGAGGAGGACGATCGGGAGGAAAGGGAGAAACAACAGGAGAAGGAGCACCAGCAAAATGAGGAGGCGCAGAGGAAGGAGGCAGAGGAAGCAGAGCGGGTGGAGAGGGAGAAACAGCAGGAGATGGCGTGCCTGCAGAAGGAGGAGGCGCAGCGGAAAGATGCAGAGGAGGCCGAGAGGCAGGAGAGGGAAAAACAGCAGGAGATGGCGCGACTGCAGAAGGAGGAGAGGCAGAGGAAGGAGGCAGAGGAGGTAGAGCGGCGTCAGAGGGCGAAACAGCAGGAATTGGACCGCCTGCAGAAGGAGGAGGCGCAGAAAAAGGAGGCAGAGGAGGCCGAGCGGCGGCAGAGGGCGAAACAGCAGGAGATGGAGCGCCTGCAGAAGGCGGAGCAGTGCCGAGCAGAGAAGAGGGCCAGACTTGCATCCTACGCGGAACAGCAGCGGCAACTGGGCAGGCAAAGGCAAAGGCGATGGCTGAAGAGACGGAACGATTGGCAAGGGAGATGGAAGAGGAGGATTTGACCATGCAGGGGGAGGGGACCTGGAAGGGAGTCAAGGAGGAAATAGCTGAGGGCCTGGGGAGTTTGCTGTTGATTGAGAGCGGGGAGGCGAATGTAGCAGAGGGCGTGGCTATTGTTCCCGGACAGAACGTAGAGGTGTCCAGGAGGCGGCCTAGACAGGAGGACAGGGAGCCGGAGGGTCATGCGGCTAAGAGACGGCGTGCAGCTGGTATACAGGAGTTGATACCGATAATCCCAGGGGAAAAGAAAGGGATGAAGATCGACAAGTGTGACAACAGGAAAAACGCCGTAGTGGACGACAAGGGTAAGACTTTGGGTGTCTGCCTGCCGTTCAGGGGAAGCGGGTTCTCTCAACGGGGCGAGGGAGCTTTGCAGAAGTGGACGTCTGAGCAGACCGTCGGCGGCCGGAAGCGGAACCTCGGCTCTCACAAAACGGTGTGGGAGAGGGCATACACGGTCGCAGTCTGCTGGAAGTTCTACTTCCCGGATATTGACATGCAGGCATACGGCATGAATCCAAACCGTATTAACAAGTGGCGGGAAGACCTCGACTTCACAACGTGGCTTCCAACAGGGGTGTGGAGCGTCATCAATGAACTCCACCTGGACAAACCGGACGGGTGAGTGTTTATGTGATGGACAGTTGCAACTTCTAAACACCCGCGAAGTTCGATGGTTCTGATCTTGCGACACTGGTGTCTTGTGCAGATTCTCACTCGTTCAAACCAACACGGCTCTTTGGCAGCAGCAGGGGGATGGCTTTCAGGTAGCTGCCTGCGCTGGTGTCAGAATAACTGCGTGGCAGAAGATGGTGGGAGGCGTGGAGGGTGAAAACGGCTATTCGACGGAAGAACACGCTGTCGGACTTGCCGCCACGTTGTCTGTAATGTGGGCCGCATCCACGAATGTGGACCAGACCCAGTGGGAGACGGGCGCAACAACAGCTGCACGTGGAACTTCTACGGCCATAGCATCTTCTGCTGCCAGATCGTCCACTGCTGCCACCGCCTCGTCGGCTGCCTCGTCATCTTCTGCGGCCGATGTGTCCTCTGCCGTCCTCGATGCCCTTGCGACGCTTGCAGCCTCGGTTGCTTGCGTTGCGGTTGAGGCGATGAGGTCGGTCAAGGATCAGGAGCATGACAAGGAAGCGTGGATTCTGCCCCTGTCGGATGCGCTGCTGAAAGCGCTTCCGGCAGAGTCGCGAGCGGCCGGGGATACGAAGCGGATGACGAGGGTGGTGACCTCTTGGTGCCTATGCAGCATGGCATCAAGAGGCCTTCGCCAGCACCAGGGCGTCTGCCTCGGAGTCCTGCAGACGAAGTTGGGCGGCCGGGATACCACAACAGGGGCGGATAAGGAGAAGAAAACCAAGAAATCGTCCGCGAAAAAGAACGCGACGAAGGATGCGTCGACGGAGGAGAACACCGGCACTGGCGGCCAGGAGTGATAGAGGCAGACGGGTTCTTTGGAGGTCTTGTTAGTACCGCAGTAGAAATAGATTTTCCTTTCCGTTTTTTTTTTACCGTGTATAAATATAGGTGTTGTTGTATACAATACAATGAGAGATGTATTTTTGCTATGCAAACCTTCACTACAGTCGCGAAATTTGTAGGGCGCGTATGGAGTTAGCAATGCAGCCGATAGAACTCGCCATCAAAGGGAGGGCCAGCCGAATAAAATAATTGACGGCAGGACGGCCTTCTACGACACTTAATCTACGTTTAATACTCGGCTTCTACGAGGAGGTAGAAGTATGGGGCTAAACAATCGCATAACATCTTGTCTTAGGGAGCAACTTGTTAAGAATCGTATACGGTATTCCTATGCACAGACCTTTCTGCTATGGAGATTGAATTCCTCGACGCCAAATTCTGGAGGCAAATCGGAAACGACACTATACCGCAGAAAAACCCACATATGGATAATATCTACCGTCATGGATAGGATCTTCGTTGCTACTAGTAGAATATGACACTCCTTTGCCCAGAAACATATGCTGGGACTGAATACATCCACGCAAAAGTCTACCGAGTGGCCTAAGAACACACATCTACAATCGTGAGAGTGAATTCATCGACGCCGCTCTATAGAATAACATCGTATACGACATGAGTCCGCAGAATTTCGCCGGGTGTATACCATCGATGTGTGCTTCAATGCATAGACCAGAAAAACATTCTACGAAAAAACAACGCGGCGTCCAGGGAAGAAGGTGGCATACAAGCCCAAATCGGGCTTCTACAGAGACAGACAAGTGCCTGTAGTGCATATTCAGTACAACCGGAATAAAGTACCCAAATAACAAACCGCCCCACCCTTAAGGTACAT